CCCATATGCATGACTTGTACTCCCTATATTTCATGATAAATAATCATAAATGTCGTTCAGAAAATAAAAGAATTAAAAATCTTGTGTTTGCGAAATATAATTTGCATTAAATGTTATTGAATTCTATATTTATGTATATCATTCCTAATAATGCTTAGAGAATCAAGATTTTATGGTCAATTAAAATTATGATATTTTTTAAGATTTCTTCATATAGATATAATTGAAATAATAGTTTAAAAAGATAAATAATTAAGAACGAGATGTTTAATCTTAAAACGACATCTAATATAAAATGGAGGGAGCAATAGGTATCACGTTCCATAATAACTTGTCTCGTCAAATATTATGCACAAGTAATTGTTGAGTCAGTAGAAGAAAATAATGATATTCCAACAGAAATATATTTTAATAGAATTATTCTGACGGCAAATTCCATTGAACATTGATTCACTACAAGAAAATAATGAAATTCCAATAGAAATATATTTTAACAGAATTATTGTGACGGCAATTCCAATGGACATTTCAATTCTATTATTTCCATTGGAATTTTTCAATGGATTCCAACAGAAATTCCAGCAAAAATATTCCGTTGAAATGAGTTTTCTATTGGAATTAATAAAAGTTCCAACGGTAACCGTTGGAAATAGTCGTTGGAATCATCAAATTCCATCTAAAATTTCAATAAAAAACAAATTCCAACGGATGCTATACCATTGAAATATCCATTGAAATTTTTATTGGAATATATTATCATAAGATTTTCTGTTGAAATATAGTAATAATTTTTTTGTAGTGAGTAGAAAATCTGAATTTCCATAGAAGAAATAAATAAAATCAAATTTGACCCATTTACAGGAATTAAATTTAAATTAGAAAATTAAATTTTGTTTACGCAAATTGTGAAATATTGTTTGTGAGTTCTCCAACCAAAAGGTTTATGTTGAACACTGTAAAAGTGTTCTTTACCCTATGGACCACACCCATTCACTCAAATATATAAATATAACAAAATATATACAACACAAATAATATTTTTTTCAATGTGATATTTCTGATTCCCATAATATCATAATATAGAAATATTTTAGTATTGCACAAATATGTTGGTATCATAAATCTCTACACTTTCAATTACTACCTAAGTCACACTCACACAATCCCTTTTCTTGTTATTATCAAATTCCAAACTTTTCCAAGTTTTGACTATATTTCTCAAAAATCCACACCACTCACATCATTAACAAACAAACACAACAACTGCCATATAATTTATCACACTTCAAACATACTATAATTAGCAAAAACCAAAAACAAATTACAATCTTGAAACCATACAAGCAAAGCTTAAGGGCCAACAAAGTCATCCCTCAAAACAAAGGAAACATACTACTTAAATAACTTAACACTAATATCAGCTAAATTAAAATAGAAACTAACACCCTAAACTTCACAAAATAGCCCAAATAACCATCCTTACAAAACATTAAAATTCAGATAAATTAACAACTTCCCCTTCTCACATGACTGAACAGCTACCTGTGTTCTCATCACTAAACATATCATGAGCAGAACACTCAGGCTCGATCGAACTGTACGGAACTGTAGGATAAGGAACAGGACCGTAATTGTAGTAATAGCCAGTTGTACTCGAAGGTACAAACGGGGAACGATTGTACATCATCTGAGGCTGAGCCCTGTTCTGCAAATTCATCATCATCATGGCAGAAGATGCCGGATGATTAAATTGATTAAACCCATGATTATTCGCATTAACCCCATTTGCATGAAAACCTGCAAGGCTCATCATATTCCCAATTTCAGTCCCTTCACTATGGTTTTTCACATTTGCACCCCCAAATTGTAAGTTCTTGTTATTATTATTCATCATCACCCCATTTTGAAACATTTTCTGCTCAGCAAGCCCATTTTGGTTTATTCCCCTCAAGACCATGTTCTGAGTCGGGCCATTGAAGGGCCCAACATTAATTTTCTTGGCATTTGCTTCAGATTGTTGCTTGAGAAAAGCAAATTGGTTCATCTTTTCTCTAAAGAGCTGCATTTCGCGCTCCTCGTCGAATTCATCGGACGAGCAACCGTTTTCTTCGGTTATGAAAGGGAATTTCTGCTGGGGTTTGAGGGATGATTCGAGGTTTTTCATGGGCTTTTCGGCATTCATGTTGTTGTTTTTCGGCATTTTCTTGTTATTATCATCTAATTTGGTGCAGTTGGATTTCTGTTTGTGGTTTTGGGAGGGTTTTTGAGACCAGGGCTCGGCGTGTTTTCCGGCTCGAATTAATTTCTTGATTAGAGCATTAGATTCTATTATTCCTGAGATTGTGACCCTTTGTTGCTCCACATCTATGTTTACTTTGTAAACACCTAATAACAACATTGAATAAAATGGAGCATAATTAGATAACCTGTTCATGAGCATTCTTAAGCAAACTAATCGAATATGTTTAAATTCAGGAAAAAATAAAAGAAAACCATTCAGGAGTAAACTGACAGCAAAAGATTTATCAGCTAAGACACAAATAGCAACTAACTAGATCTCTTATATAATGAAGCTACATTATTAGAACATGCAAATTATATAATTTTAAATAGGCAAACTAACTTCAATTTGGAATTAAACTAAGGAAAATGCACTTTCAGCTTCCTTGACATCAAGAAAAAATGCTGCAAAATCAAATAGAACATTAATTAGAAATGTTGAAACTAACAAAATACAAAACCTTCAATTCTCTGTAGGATTTTCTTCACTTTCTCCTTGCACCCATCGCAGTGTATGTTCACTCTAAGAGCACAGGTCTACAGATTGAAAAAAAAAATAAATAAATAAAATATTGCTCAAAATAACATGGAATTATCATAAAAAAAAAATGACCTAAGTCCTAAAGACAGTATAAAAAAGTTTAGCCTTTTAAGAACAAACAAAAAAGAGTGTATTACATGAAAATGAAAAGGATACCTGAATCTTAAGAAGCTTAAAGTCTTCATCTTTAGTCATTTTTCGAGCTCTTTAGGATTATCTTTGAAGAACTTCTTTATCTTTAAAAATAGATGCAAAGAAACTTGTAAAGCACACTTTTTGGTCCTTTCCTCTTCAAGTACACTAGAAATAAATATAACACACATAGGTTCGTTAGGTTCATAAATAAAAGCATTTAAAATTGGATGCCAGGGGTGGATGAGAAATTTAGGTCAAGGCGAGGGGCTAAAATGCAAAACTGATGCCATATCACAAGACAAAATGTGTAGAAAAAGCGAAAAACTGAAAAACCAAATGGGTTGGGTAGGTTTTTAAAAGTAGTTAAAATTGGGTACCCGTACGTCGGGTGGATGAGAAATTGAGATAAAGGTGAGGGACTAAAATACAAAACTGATGCAATATTATATGCCAAGACAAAAAAATGTAGGGAAATCGTACTTTGGATTTTCATTTGACCTAGCTCTTTACAAAATTCGTCATGAAAACTTTCACAATTGCATATTTTGATTTAAAAGTTTTAAATTAATTTAAAGTTCAATTCAAATTCATCCATAATTGAGTTAATCACAAAACTTTTTTATTATGTTAAAATTTTTAATTCAAAGAGCAACTTATCATTTTAGTATTTTTTGAAAAATAATTTGTTAATTTTAAAATTTTGTATGACAAAACTTAAAAAATTATATTCTTGAGAAGTTAAAAACGTAGGTTGGTTGGATAGGTACATAAATAAAATCGTTTAAGGGAGCGATTGGATATAGTTTCAACAGTAAAAAAATCAATTAAAACTCAAAATTAACAACTTTAATCCAACTCCACTATCTCTAATATTATCAATATAATAAAATAATATCAACCAATCATTTTTACACAATCACATTACCTTTAATTTATTATTCATCCACTCACATAATTTTAACTAATCATCGCTTCCAATCATTTTTTTTCCTACTTTACATTAAATCAACTTTATTGTTTTATTTAACTATTATTTTAATATATCAACTGACAATTAATCATACCACATTTTTTCAAAATTAACTATAATTAAAAACAAACCAAATAAAAACTAGTTGAATCTATAAACAATTACACCCTTAACATTAGGTAGCTGGGGTGGATGAGAGATTTAGATAAAGGTTAGGTACTAAAACGCAAAATTGATGCCATATGCCAGGACAAAANAAAAAAGGGAACAGACATGCGCAGAGTGCAGAAAGATTGAAAAGAGAGGTAATGCAAACTGACCCACGAAAATGCAAGTCAGAAGAATTGGGGGAAATAAAGTACGTCTTTTTAGGGAGACGTTTCTTTGTCCAGTGGTTTATAGGGTTTTGAGCTTGAGCACATTAAAATTTACTGAGTCAGTTCAGAACTTCAGATGTTATTTTTTGGAATGAAAATATTTTATTTTTGGTTTGACAACTATTAATCTCAGCCGATTTTTGGAATGAAAACATTTATATTTATAGCTATTTTGAGTATATGTTTAAGATAATAAACACATTTATTATAAAATGTACATATATTTTAGTTCATTTAACAAATGTGTTTGCCTAGCCAATTAGTCGTCCTGATACTAATGAACTTACCAAGATGTACTTCTAAATGGTACGCCTCTAATGTCATGTTTTAAAATTAATATAAAACTACGGTATGTTAATATATATATATATACATGCACATTTTTTTCTAAAAAATAATATAATGATATATTCTCATTGATGTTGATAAAGCATAGAGAATTCGGCCTTAAATCGGATCTCTTATACCTTGGGTTTAGAACGAAGCTTCCTTAGCTCGACTTAGAAGCAATAGGTTGGATGGGTTGAGGTAGGTCCCTAGGGGTTAGGTCGAGTTATCAATTCAGGTTGTTATATTATAAAGTAATAAAAATTGGTATGTATTCTTTTAAAAATGATATTTATTTCAAATCTAATTGGTATGTTGTCAATGTAATAAAAATAAATATTTATTTATATAAATTCTAAAATTATATATAAAGTTAAAAAACTGTGAAGCACGACCGATACGACACTTGATGTATCAGGCATCTAATTAAGTAAAAAAAATTATCTATTTTGTTTAATATTAAATAAACATATTCTACACTTATGCATATACATATCACCATATTATTTTTATTTATTTAAGATATATATTTTTGTACTTATGTAATAGTAAATAATATCGATATTTTTATATGATATAAGTAAAAAAATTCAACATGTGTTGACATTTTCATTTAATGTACGGGTGTTTAATTATTATGTTAAAAAAAATATAATTTGGACAATTTAATTAAAATCCAAGTAATGTTTTATATAAAATTAATTTATTTTAGTCTTTTTAATAAAATAAAAAATTTAATGTTTTTTACAAAAGTTTTCTAATTCAACACCCGTGTAATACACGGGTATTGTACTAGTCAACTTTAAATATGTATCTATATTCTATAAATTCTTTTATATGGTATGAGTTATGAAAAAAATAATAAATTTTTATAAAAATATTTATAATTTTTAAATAAAAATTTCTATTTCTATTTTGTTTTTACTTTTTAAGCATAAAAATTTTAATTAGCATCCTACTTAAAATAATTTTTATATTACTAATTTTATATTACATCTCATATGCATCTTATTTTTATACATTTATCTTAAGTTATTCGCAATCATATTAAAATTAAATTGGCTACTTAGCAATATATATAAATATTTATTTGCGCCTACACGTCTTCTTAAAATTGGAAAAGTTAGCCTACATTATTGTAGTGCATGTTAGTAAGTTTTGGGGCGGATTATGATTGGTTTAATTTTGAGGAATGGTTCCCTTGAAAGTCTCAACGGGACTTTTGAAAATTCCTATTAACATGAGAGAATAAACCCAGTAATCTAACGGGGGTGTCTATATATACACCCCCTAAATTTCTAATTGTACACCCCTCTCTAATTATCCTTTAATTACTTTAATCATTATTAAATCATTACGTGATCTGACTTTTAAATTATTATATAATTTGACTATTAGTTATTAAATGATTTCAAAATCATTACATGATTTAACAATTATTTTTAAAATAAATAAAAATAAAGGCATGATTTGACCAATATTATAAATAAATACATTTTTTTTTTTTGTATTATTACAATTGTAGACGATCCTTATACATTTGTCTCAATTCTTTCATACAGACACTTTTATACGGAGAAACTTTGGGCATTGGATGTCCATTTTGCAAATCCACTTTCACAAAATGATTTCCATGAACAAATGCAATTGCTATGGATTGATTTAGTTCTGGAGCTTGTGGACTTGTCCAAAGCGGAAAGAATGTGTAACTACCTGCATCTGTTAAAAAATAAAAAATGCAGTTGTACTTGTTCGCGATCACGAGACCAGTTTCGGGCATTTTTATCCAATGCTCAATCGGTGCAAATCCAATGCCTTGAAATTTGAAGGAGTGTTCCACAACCTTATAATAATCACCAAAAAAAAATTTATAGTGTTTTTTATTGGTATGCAATTCCTGCAATAATTCATGACGAATCGATGGCCAATCATGTTGATCTCGACCAATAGCAACAGCTACTGACCGAAAACCACAATTTCCATCGCCTTCAACATCTTCAATCCCGATGACATATGGTTGAAAGAAAGATGGAATTTCATGAATCAGTGGATGTGTATACCGTGTCGGTTCCTATAAAAAAATATAAGATAAAAGAAATTTTAATTGACAACTAGATTGTATCTTTTTATAAAAAAATAAAGTATAAAATAACAATACCTCCATTATTGGCTGCTGATAATAATATTCGTTTTGTTGTGGCAGTTCGTAATGATCATAACCATATTGAGTTGATGGTGCCGGGTCTTGATAAACAAAGTTCTGCTCGGACATAGGTGGCAGATCATTCAAATCAAAAGAAAAAGGCATATATGAGCTACACTGTGGTGGATCAACCTTGGGTGGCAGATCGCGGTAGACATATTCACTGTGTCGTGGTGGCTCGTTCAATTCAGACTGAACGGCTGGTCTATACGATGAACAACTATGTCTACGACTTTCATTAGGCAAAACTTGTTTGTCCTTGCTGGATTTTGAACTTGGACGACCACGGATATTTTTGTGAACAGAAGGTTCACCAACAATATAGGTCGACGGTTCAAAAATCCCCCTAAGTTTTCTAAAAAATGAGGCCTTCCCTGACTTTGGCTGATCTGCAAAACCTTTTTTGAACCTTTCAAGCTCAGCATCACAAGTTACATCATCCTCCTCCTCTACTGTAGGGTCAGGAATATCTAAAGTCCTCCAGAAGACATCAATTTCTTGTAATGGAATAAACAAGTCTTCTTTCATATAGAAGTTAAGTTCGTGCGCACATGGTAACCCACAACTTGTACGAAGTTGACACCCGCAAGTTTCAGCAGTAAGTTCAACTACAGTGTCAAGTCGCTCTAGTTCCGTAAATATTTTTTTTAAACCATTTTTTGATACTTTTCCGTGTAAAAATTTAAATTGACGTGAATTTTTCAACTTATGTGACAATTTTATTTTGCTTTTTTCTAATTTATCTTTAATAGATATGTATTGTAATTTTATTATATCTTCTATTGTTTCGACTATCTTATCTAACTTATTTTGTGACGAGTTCAACATACTTTTTAAGTGAGCATGTGAACTCTCAACCCTGTTGGTTGTATTATTATCAAATGTTAGATATTTATCACACCAAGCAGATACGAACCTCTCTTTGTACGGATCCAACCAAGTGTCATTTAAGTACGTGAGTACATGACCTGAAACTGTAAAAAAATATCGTTTCAAACCTACATGTAAAATAATTATACAAAAAATATGACATTTTAAAATAAAAGACAATAATTCTATGATGTGTATACCTTGGTTGTCATACAAAAATTGTTGTAGCCGAATATAATTAGTCGAATATATTTCCACTGTTGGAGATTTTATCAACACATCCCATCTGTGGTTGAATGAATTCCAACCTTGTAAATTAAAACAAGGTCTGCAATTCTTTAAAATACTCTGCGAAATATGCCACCTGCACAACAATCTGTTGGAATCCGGAAACACGATCGTGCATGCATTCATTAGAGCTAACTCTCGGTCCGTAACAATGACATTTGGATAAACATTCTCTTTCAACCTCAACTTTAGCTGATTCAACGCCCAAACGTAATTTGATATTTTTTCTTGATTCATGATGGCGAAACCAATACAAAATGTACTATTGGTTGAAGTCACGCCAACCATTTCTAACAGTGGCATATTGTATCTGTAAACATTTGGATAAACATAAT